TATTCTTCCCATGTAGCTAAATATGTAATGACTGTAATTTATTATATATTTATTATTTATACAAAATTGTATTCATTAATTCATTCTTTATTCGTTCGTTCATTCATTCATTCATTCATTTATTCATGTATTTATTCATTAATTCATATAGGGCATATTTATTCATTTATTGGTATAAATAATCCTTACATTCTGAAGCTGCAACCAAAGACCAATGAATTGTTCGTATATACAATCTAACAGGCTGATAAGACATAGACACCATTAAAAATGCCAAATGTCGTATAGAACATTACAATTTAAGTTATAGTTTTCCTTTTTATTATGAACGTATTGACATGAGGAGGTGTGGTGGGGGCTGGGGGGTATTAGCTGACGAGCACAACGTTTGTCAGACGGGCGTACGTTAATCCCCATAAATACGCTACCGTATTGTACTATGATTGAAAGATACAGTAGACCAATCCGCACCTGCGTAGGACGCACATAAACTTCTTTGATTCGAGTGCTTTATATTAATACAGTCATAGTACAGTATAGCCTACATAAGTATGTAAGATGTAAAAAAAAATAATGAGAGGAATTACTGAGATGCAGAGTATGACTATGTGTAGGCTTACAGTGCACGTGTATAGAACAAGGTGTGTCATTGGTTAAGAACAATTCTCGCGTACCACAATATGAGTAACCATGGATTATTATATGCGGGCAAATTCAGGCGCGGATCCAGAGTTTGCTCTGACCATCGCACAGATGGGGTCCCATGGTGGGCGAGGTCGTGGGAAGAGAGCGTAATTTGTTGATGTTCTGTCATTAGAAGACAATTTTTAGACGGGGATGGTGGTGGGGGAATGAATAAACTCCAAAATTCATTGGTTTTCCCTACTTTAATAGAAGTTTAATAACGATTATGAGGACGAAATTTGTAGAGACGGGCAGCCGTACGGTCTTATTGTGGAAATAACGGGAGCAAATTGAGCTCATAGCTGGAGCCACCAAAGGCCTCTTGGAGTGTAGGGGCGAAGGGCCTCAGTCTAGTGGTTCCAAGAACGCATCTGTTTAGGTGGGGACAGTTGTAAGTGAACACCTACCTCTGCCCCACCATGGTTGGGGCTAAGAAGTTACCTCAACAAATTTAAACACTTGTTTCATGACGTTAACATAATACTTACAAACTTGGAGTTGTAAATTAATGATTTTAATTTTACTGAACTACTGCAGAACGCTCTTTCCGTAAAATCTGGGTCATGTATACAGTATATTTAAAGTTTTAAGGCATTTTCTTGACTTACAAAATTACATTGCGGTCAAAACGTGGGGATACCAAACCCTTTAAAGTATGTGTGAGGGTACATGTCCCACCCCACCCCCAAAATGATTGCGCCCATGAGTAATTCTTATGTACAAGAAGATTTAAATACCTCCGATTAAAAGACTAATATACGGACACGGAACACAAGGACTTCCTGTCCCAGACGAAAGCAAAAAGAACACTTCGTATTCAGTGCCTGTTGGATCGCAGTTTGAGTATTCCAGGGGTTCTGAGGACCTCAAAGTATAACCAATCCCCAATATTACTGGCCTAACAATTACTGGTTAAATTATAAACATCTTAGATTTTTTAATCACAGAAAATCACAAATGTTATATTCAGTACTTTCTAGCCTGCCATGAAAATGTGGACCTTTTCAATTTGCTGTAATGCGTACGAACTTATATCATCGCATGTCACCCACTGGATATACACGGGCCCAGAAAACTACAGTTTACTTGTCAATTAAAACAGTATTATATGCTTATTAATTAGATATCTTCTTAATTTTCCAGTATTGTTTTTTATGTTTTCCCACTTTTACGAGGTTAATTTGAAATTAACATACCACACCTGCCGTTGCCTTTTCTTTCGATGCCGTAGGTCTATTAATTTGCAGTGGTCATTTTGGACTTTAGATGTATGAAATTCCAGCTTTTGAGTGTGTTTGTAAGTGTTTAGTCCACTTTAGGCTACCCACTCCAATTAAAGACCTGCTTTTTCCATAGCATTGGTTAAAATAATAATTAAAAAGTAACAGATAGTTAAAATAATAGTTTAATAGTGATTTTGAAATTACATATAAATTAGAAGTGCCGAAGAATGAATGCACGCATTACTGGTATCGGCCTATATCCATCTCTATGATTCTTTCTTGATTGCCACATCAATCAAAATACACAACACAACAGTGCACGTCAACACAGTAAATGGCGCCAGCGATTTAATTACAGTCCTTTCTTAATTAATATTTAGACAAAGCAAAAATGCATTTTTTTATATTTTTGTACTTGATTGAGGCAGATGGTATTTCTGCAAGGGGAGAGTTGAAATTCGCCAGACCACCAGGCGCACTTTATATTTAAACAGAATTATCTCTCATCCTGACCTTCGCCATCGCGAACAGTGCGAAGGTCTGGACCCGCACCTGCAATTTGTTATAAAAACCTCAATTTATTTTATTTATTTTTATTTATTTATTTATTTTTTTCAATTTTTATTTATTTATATTTATTTATTTTAGTACCTGTTATGTTAAATGGTGTCCCTCAAAATACGATGGTAATCTATGTACTAACTGTATGTATATTTTAATGTTTTATAAGAAATACTGTATAGGTAATTTTCATATACAGTAGGCCTATAAAATGGCACGCCCAATAAAAATATTTGCTGATTTAAGATTCAAGATAATTTTATTGTCTGAAAAAAAAAACACCAGAAATTACGCCTTTATATGAACGCACCCCTGTTGCCAATAGTAACTAAGTAGAAAGTAGTGCCCAACGTCCGAAAGAACTGTCGGCATAGGCCTACATTATTATCAGGGAGGTGTTATGATATTATAATCCGCCCGATCAGCTGCTAGCCAAGTTGTAGGAAGTACAGATCATCTTTCTCTATCTCGATTCCTTCATATTATTACAGCCATGATCATTATAGCTATGTCGTATGTAAAAAAAAAATAATAATTAGTAGGAAAAGTACTAAGGCGCAAGTACGGTATGCGAGTAAAACAATGCGAGGTGTGTCATAAGGCGTGGGTTAACTTCATTTACCAATCATATCATGAATATTCATGATCCAAGCATTAACTAAAACTTTAATGGTAATCCATTAATATATATCGTAATCTTACCATTGATCACCAGGATGCGGTGTATCTGACAATACTTTTTTTAACTGCTGGTCAAAATGTAAACAGAGACAGGAAGTTCGACTTAGCCTAGAACACTAAGCCAAAAACAAATCTTGTCCTACTTTTTTAAGCGGATGAGGCAGGGCCGGGCCTTTGAAAACGTTCACACAGATAGTCATTGCTTAGGAGTATCATACTGGAGTTTGTGAGTTTCTTCAAGGCGAACCAAGACGACAAAACGAGCAACATTTAAAAAAATCGAGTATAACTTTGATTTGAAGTGACATATTCACGGCTTCCTGGGCGGATTCAGAGATGTCCGAAGGGGGGCGTGGGTCGGTCGAGAGACAACACTACCCAAGGGGTCCAGAAATGGTTGTCTTCTAGACGCCCGGAAATAGCATCCGAGGCGTTTTGGGCGATCATTAATTTCTTTTTCCTTCTTTCTTTCCCTCCCCTTCTTTTTAAATTTCTTTAAAAAGGCGAGGTGTGTCTTTCCTATTAAATCCACCCTCAACTTATTGTAAAACGGAAAGCGACTGGATGTTTATAATGATGAATGCTCTAGGACACGAGTCGATTTAAACAATTCAACAACAAATTATTCAATGTCAATAATAATATAATTTTAATTGGCACTTTTATAAATAACATTTGCAAAGCAATAAAATGTTGTGTATTTCTAAAAAAAAAAAGAGTTAAATCTATACATTTTACATTTGAATAGATTAATATTAATAACGTGAAAATAATCGATCTACAAATCTAATAACTACGAAAATTGACTAAAATCGAAACCGACCAATTTTCTAAAATTGAAATACATCTATGTTCCAACCATGGCTACAGCAGATTATTACTGCCCCACTGAGATTCTGGGCGATAGCAAATACCCATCTGATGCCCACAGTTTGACCATAGACTGGCACGGATCCATTAGGGGCCCCATTTTAACACTAAATTTTAACATTTCAATGTTATGTATTGAAATTAGTGCTACACATTTATCTATTCTAAAAATGTTGTGTGCCTTTCCCCCTCCCCCGTTTGAAAAACTCTGGATCCACCCCTGATAGAGATGATTTGATGTATTGTCTGCATGTCCAGCTCCAATGGGTTGGAACTAAGGAATGTGCAACACCCTTGCACACCTTCTTGGAAGATCATTCCGTGAACATTGGTTGCATGGTAGCTCTGCACAATATGCCTTAGGCTAGTGGAGTTATCTGCATTTATGATCCTCTCTTATTAATTAGTCAAACAAATTATGTACCTATGGTGCATTTATAAATCACTTGGTGACAAATCAAAAAAAATACATAGCACCTTATCATACATTTAGAATGATATGATATTGTTTATATAAAAGAAAATATAATATGATAAACATTATTTAACAGTCATTTCAAAATATTTGATACTCTAAAATACTTGCTCTATACAATTAAAGAAAAATATGGTTTAAAATGAAAGCATTTATTCAATTCTAATATCTATTCAAAATATTCCTAATATTTGTTGATTATTTATACTAAGGCTATCAAGTTATGAATTACAATACTAATGTACATAATAACACACAACCCCACAAATACACACACACACACCCTCACCTACACAACTGTCTGTGCAGCTGACAATTCAAATTTCCTTTTGAATTGCACTAGATCATCTAATCCATTGCTGTTCCTTTTAAAAATAAAATAATGAAACATTTTGTTATCTAAGTCTTTAAAAAATGAATAGAAAAAATAGCATTATTGCTACAAGTCCAGAGCAATAAAAAATAATGACGACATATATTGGGCTATTTAACTCCAAACCAGCCTCCCCCCACCCACCCCCAGACAATACAGGAGAAGCCTTATTGCAGATTTGACACCAACATATATCAAATTCTCTAACACATTCTCTATAATATTATTTAACATAATTATCATTAAGTTTAGTATTACCATCATCATAATTACTAATACTGTACTAACATTATCATCAATATTAATAAAACAAAAATAAAAACTTAACAAAAAATCATCAAAACTATTTCAGAACAATCATCCTTCTATGCCTGCTGAAATGAAACATCCTGAATTTTGTATCCTGTTATTGGTTGTGTAACTGCACCTAACTCTATTTAGATATGTACAGTACTACTTTACATGTGTCTAACACAGCATTTCGCAACCTATAATATGGGTTGCGTCCCAATGTTTGGATCACGGACACTATCGCTTCAGATTTATCAGAAGACTTATTTAAAAAAATTAACAAAATTCTAAATAATTGACCTGGTTTCCATATAGAAATTTTTCGAAGTAAGCCAAAATTCACTGTTATTTTGTAGATGACAGCTCTGCCCAGCTGTCAGTCAGGCTTGGTTAGATAGATGTGGTCTGCTTATTGTTGCTCCGGTCGTTGGTGGAACTTATGTAAGGATACACTTCAGTTGTTTTCAGAATCGAGACCAATGCTCACACCAATTATCACACATTTACGACAAATTTCTGAAAACAACTGAAGTGTATCAATACATAAGACCCAGCAACGTCTGGAGCAACAATAAACAAACCACATCTATCTGACAAAGCATAACTGTGAGTTGGGCAAAACTTTCATCTATAAAATAACAGTGAGTATTTGGTTTACTTAAAGAAATTTCTATATGGAACTTATATATATTGGAAATTCATCTACTTTCTCATTTTCATGTGGCAAATAAGGCCTCTAAAAACAATTTTTTTTTCTGCAAAAGGTATTCATTATAATATTTAACCTTCAATATTTTCTGATAACCACAATTTCTAAGACTGATCTCCCTGATTAATCATATTTTTAATCTGTATTTCATTTTGGCAATTTTACTTGATTTGCCAAAAGCATGGGATTCAATCGATAAATCTACCTTTTAAAAATTATTTACATACTGTTGCAAATATTAAACTGCACTGTACAACCATTGTGTAAAGTGATACAATTGGATAGATCATTATTGTTAGCTATTACTAAATTAAAAGTTTGAACACTAAATAATAAAATGGAACATTTAATTGGCGTATGAATTCATAATTACGATTAAATTATATACACACTGTATGCTTTTATATATATTAATTGTACGTTAACAGCGAAAACTATTATCGGCCTTAACCAAGACTGAAAATTATAACACTTTATACTACCAAGCAAACCACAGAGTCAAATACAATTTATTTTATTTTAGTTTAGATTATATTTCATTTGCTGCCATTTTGAATTGGCATGGTATAAATCTCTTATTAAATAATAATAATAATAATAACAAGCACCTCACTTAACCATCAATCTGTCCCCAATTTAACATTCATGCCACCCACCAGCCCCTTCCCCCCATGTCAATACTCCAAGATGCCACTGCTGGAGAATACCATGCTATAACCAGAATGATCGGTGCTTGGCACTGAATGTTACCACTGGCTACACACTTACACTTCTGGGTGAAGATAGTCCATGTGAATAAATTAAACCTTATTCCAATTATAGCAGCCAACTTACTATGTGGGGGGGGGGGCACTGTATCATTGCTTGCCAAAAAAAATATACAAAAACAATTCACTTATGGACCACGTGGCGAGTCGCATGTTTCACATTTGTGGAGGGCGGGATGATTAAGAAAAGTGCAAGCGTTACAGCTCCATTGTTGATCATCGTTCTGTTCCACTAACAACCAATCACTGCCTCCCTCATCTTCACGCACCCTTGGTACTAGAAGAAACAGAATAATTTAAATTACAGTATCTTATCAAAAAATATACTATATGTTACAAAATGTGAAAAGTCCACAAATTAAAAACAGAATAATTGAATAGCTAATTTAAAAAGATTAAAGCTATAAAAAGATTAAAGCTATAAAAAACAAAACATAAATTCTAAATGAAAATAAAAAAAATACTTATTATGCTTTTCGCTACAAAAACACCCAATTTGAGGACTGTACATACAAAAAAATATAGGAAAGATATTATTAATGTGCACTTATTAATGGGCAAGATAATTGTTAATTTTTAAATTCTTATTTTCAAGTAAAAGCCAATAACCATATTTCGATATGCAAATATTGATTTTTTCTCCACAATTGTTAACTTAACACATGAATATAATGATGCAATGAACGTTATAGACGAATTTTATGAAAAAAAATGATTTACCTTGAAAATTTGGAAGAATTGCACGGGGGTCTGGTTGTCCGGGTTGGACTGGTCCTGGTGCACCGGTATAACCAATGTTTTGATAAAACCCATCGCTGTATTTACCTGTAAAAAAACAAAATCACTTATTATAATTTTTAATCAAATTACATTAATTTCATGTTCATAAAATATTATCCTCTAGAGGGTGCAACTCTAATGAAAGAAAAAGGCAAGCAATGAATGAGTGTAATCTTAAAAACAAATGAAACCATTCTCCAGAGGGCAGAATTTAACTATATGTACATGTGTGAAAGGCTATGGAATAAAATTTTCTTGAGTGAGCAATTATAATCTTCTAGAGGGCGCAATTCTATGAAATATGGATTTCTAAAGCTTTGTCCACAGTGTCAAATTTTATGTGACAAATTTGTGTGATGTGTCCTTATATGGGCATGATGAAGCCATATCACACTAAAATATCAGTTATTTGTCGCATAAAATTTGATAGTGTAGACCAGGGGTGGCGCCAGGAAATCCCTAACAAAGGGTCCAAGCTCCCCGGCATGGGGCTTCATACCCCCCATTGGGGAAGCCTATCCTCCCTTCCCACAGCTGGGGAAAAATGAAATTTCAGGAAAAAGCTGGCACCACCACTGCAAACAATGTGATCGTAATAGTATACAACACCTCGCACATATGGTTGCACTGCTCACACTAAACAGTCCCACATCATGACCATATATAGGCACATCATGACTATATATGGGCATACAACAGTTTTTTTGTCACAGAAAATGTGATAGTGTGAACTGACATTAGGAATACAATACAAATGAAGCAATCACCTTGATTCTTGTGTAGCTCAATTTCGCGTGTCATGCATTTTATGTCGATTTCAAGTTGCCTGTTCTGCTCAGAAAGTTTTGTTACTGTTTTTGCCTTGAAAGAAAAAAAAGAACCAATTATAGTTAAAGTACTGCAACCAGAATTTTCCCAAACAGATGTACCCTTTCCTACTATTTAAAGTTGAGACTTAAACTTTCACATTTTATTAAGAAATCAGCTGCAACATCGGGCAAAATTCAGAATAGGGTGTTGAGAAATGAGTGTGTATACAGTACATCAAACCAAACAAAACCACTTGGTGCAACATTAATACCACATAACTTTTACCGATCGAGACAGTACGACAACAACATCAAAACGATTCAAACACCAAACAAAAAAACAAAAAAAACAAAAGAAAAGAAGAGGTCTTTGTTTATTTGTTTGGTTGATGTGTGCTGTGTTTCCTTTAGCTTTTCTCATGTGCTCTTTTAAAGCTATCTTTACCGGTGTACATTCTGGTAGTGGTAGCATGTGTCCAAGCAAGTTTAAATGATACTGTATATAATAAGTTAAACTGAGTAGGCACTCACAGCGATAGAGGGTGCTTTTTAACTTACCGAAGTAGAAACTGCTGATTTGTTTGCTCGTTTTTCTCCCAGTTGTTTTTCCATCGATTCAACTTCTTGCTTTAACATTTCAAGGTTTTCTTTCTCTTCCTTATAGTCTTTACTTAATCTGTCATACCTCATCCTCTGATGAAGAAGCAAGGCTTTAAAAAGAAAAACAAATAAAGCATTTAAATTATAATATTCTCTAACTATTAATTAATAAATACTATAAACATAACAATTCTTAAACAAACTGCCAAGAATAATGATTTTCCTCTCCACATTTACTGTTTTTCCAGAAAAGCATAGGAAATTCTACTTTTTAAAATGTTAACACAATTTTTAATATTCTCCATTAATAATTATAATAAATACTAAACAAAGGCTGATTCACAAGTTTACAGACTGGCTAAGAATAATGATTTTCCTCTCTAAATTTTTGCATTTTTTTGTTTGTTTTCAGAAAAGCATAGAAAATGTTAACTTTTTAAAATATTAACACAATTTTGAATGACAAAGCAAATTTAAAACAACCTCATCCCTCTTAGCCTTGAAGACATCTCTCTAATTAATGCATACCATAATTAAAAAATACTTTAAAGTAATTAACCGTACTAAATTATTTACTAATCATGGAAAGTTTTTATTTCTGCTGGCTGATTCAGAGGGAAACGTTCTATAAAATGTTTCCATGATCCTAATGCGCTATACATCTCGTAGTTATGTGGGTAAAGCCCACAACTGAAATATAAAATTGGGTGAATTTGTTATTTTTACCTTTTAAGGGCAAAACAAATAACATACTGTACCTTGTGTGTATGCAAAGTCCTCCTGTTCTTTGGTGAGTGGCAATGGTGGCTGTTTTAAATCTGGTTTCACTTCAGGACTGTCTGTAAGGGAGCTGAGACTAGATGCTGGTGACATCATAGGTTTAATGGGTGGAGGTGTTCCAGGACCATGATCATTAGGAGTCGCCATTAAATTTAACTGTCTTGGATACATCTGCCTCCTCCCAAGCTCCGGGCTTGTAAGCGCATGATGAAGCAATGCATTAGATCTACTGGAAGCTGGAGTTGATGGTAGATTATTCGATGTAACATAATGAATAGAAGACACCATGTTATTTACTTGAGACGGTGAAGTGGAACTGATATTATACTGATGGTTGTTATTGCTAGTTGTAGCGTACCGCTGTTGCGGATCTGTCCAGTGTTGAGTGGGATGATGATCTGGCTGGTTCATCATTAGACTTGCGGAAGTTGAGTATGAACGTGCTGGAGGTGTGATCCTTGTATTGTATGGTGTAGAATAATGTACAGGAGTTGGATTGGGTGTTTGGTTGATGTATTGCTGTAATGGATACTGTAGGATGAAACTAGATCTGTCAGGCGGTGCAGAGACTGGTCGTTGCTGCTGTTCTAGATGTATAGTGGCCTCCGAGATGTTCCTCTGATATTGCACATTTGGTTCGCTGTAACGATGTTTTGGATGCTGCGTTGTGCTTTGGATGCCATTATCATTTTGTCTTTCTCGAAGATCCACAGCAGAGGTCGTCATAGTCCTTTGGCCCGAACCATAATAGTGCCGATTTTCTCGTTCTTTTTGCAAAGTGTTGTAGCAAGCATTAAAATCATTTTGATTCTGCCAAAGTTAAAAAAGCATTGTATATATATATTTTTGTAATGAAAGCATATATATTATTATTATCATTATTGCAAAAGAGAAAGAGAGATGGCTACACACTATTAAAACATGCATAAACATATGGAACTCTTACAACCCATTGGCGGATCTGAGGGGGAGGGGATTCCGGGGGTCTTGTTAATGTACGTATAGCCTTATGTAGCTTGTCATCGTAAAGCAATATCACTTGGCCTCAATAAATAGTGTTTTGGAAATTAATTTATCTACACAAACAAGACTTTATATATTTATGTATGAGACCCGAACCAATTATATATTTTTTTGTAGCATATCTCAGGTATCAGTGGCGGATCCAGGGGTTCAGTGTGTTTGGACGAACATCCCCCCACCCCCAGTGAAGAAATGTAATATAAAAAATACTAATGGGTCCTGACCTACAAAAGGCATGCTAACTTACCTAGGCATAGGTTGGCAGATCGGACAAGCAAGGCTTAGCCTAACTAGCCTTCAATTAAATAAAATTAAGAACACTACTTTCGGTTCAAAGTTGTAAACATAATTTTTGTATAAAAGTGAGTTCTTCATGCCTATCGGTTCATCGATTCATGGAAAGAAAATTATGATGAAACTAATTAATTTTTTTTTCTGTATGTATACACACATAATAGGCCTATTTACTGTAATAAGAAAATTTACCTGACCGTATTCAAGAGGGGGAAAACCTTGAATTTTAAATAACTTATAAGTCAACTCAGAGGTCTGGAAAGATCATTTCCGCTATCTAGGAATAAAAAATTTCTTTTGGGGGTTTTTTTCAAATCCTGAATCCATCGATTGACATCTTCTATATCTAGTACATATTTAGTGAGTTGACCATGGTAAGTTGGGCACTCATAAATCTGACCCCCACCCCTACATTTGAACCCAGATCCACCAATGCAACCTGCTGTAGTTTTCTACTTACCTGTGTCATGACCCTCCAGATGTCGTCATCCGATACCTCTGGGAACCTGGCCCTCAAGCTTTGCAGGATATTATATATATGATCACCACTGGCTGCCATCTTATAATAGACTGTACATGCTTTTATACAAACTACAGATGTCAAAAGGAGTATCTGATCTTGGGCAGATGTTGCCAAGAGATCTGGTAATATAAAAACAAAAATATTATGAGAGGAATCAGTCTTTACCATGTTGACTTATTATGGATACACCCTCAATCATCATAAAGTATGGAAAAACCTCTAATTTACTAAAACCTAATTTAATTATCAAATTTATTTACTTCCAATAATACACAACACAAAAAAAGTTTTCAAGGATTTACAGACCTTCTACTACAAATTATTAATTAATTTGTTTACCAGTTAATTTATGTGTCTCAGCAAAAAAGTACACGAAAAGTATTAATGTGTATGTTGGCAAGGACAATTTCTTTCATTATACATTTTATTTTAAAGCTTCAACTTCTCAGTATCTGTGCTCTTAATTTTCTATTACACTTTGTACTTTCGTTACTTGTCACCATTGCGGTTTTGCGGTTCTGATTACTGCCAAATTTTTAAAAATCTATTTTGAATGGAACGTAAAGATATTGTTTTATTTACTTATTGCATTCAACAGTGTAAAAGGGAACCAGTCAATCTGAGCGGATGCCACTTCGAGTGAATGCCAGTTCGAGTGGATTCGAGCGGATGCTAGTTCGAGCGGACTTTACCTTCGCGCCCCCATCAGCACCCACATTTCAAGACTTCTAGATACGCCACTGGAGGCCAGGGGGAAAAGCCCCGGTGGGTTCCGAGGAAGAAGCCTATAGACTTATGTATAAAAAAAAGTCATAATTAATTGATTTATAAGGTTAACAATTTACAATTAAACATACCTACGTTCATAAAAAAATGTTTAGTCATTGTTATTCTTTCCACATGCTAAGTTTAAAAAAAAAGTGGGTTTTGAATTATAGACGAATGGTGAATAGTGGAGAAAATTGGTATGATGTCTATTACTGTGCTGTTGATAAGCTTGTCACATGGGCTGGAGGATCCAGAATTTTTCAAATGGCGGGGTGGGGCACAACAGTTTCAGAATAGATAAGTGTATAGCACATAACATTTAAATTTAGTGGCAAGACGAGGGGGCACATGCCTCCCAGTTCCCCCTACATTGGATCCGCCCCTGTGTCACATTACTACACCAATGATTTGTGCACCTTCTGATACCATATACGTAAAAATAATTAAAATTTCTATGGTGAATAACAATTACAATTACAGTTACTCCCATTTACAAATATAGGCCTAAATCGTAAATCTACAAATACTGTTACAACACTATATAATTCAACTAACTGGAGACAAAAACCATGAATTCTACGTGCGAAATTCTATAGTTTCAAAATATAAGTGCTTGCTAGTGGCCATCTTTTAGTCGGATTAGCCAAGACTGTAATTCAAGCATGAAATAATTATCAAAAGGTACCAGAAACATTTCAGAACTTTAGTGCACAGAGCATTTTTTGCATTTAAAACAAACAAATACAAAAATAGGGCTACTATAAATTTGCCCTTGTTATAGTTCGCACTAAATGCATCCGCTCGAACTGGCATCTGCTCGAACTGACATCTGCTCGAATTGACTGGCATCCGTGTAAAATACCAATAACAGGATGGAGGTAAAATTTAATCAAATTTGTTATGTAAAATGATTATATATTTAGGAAAACAACAATTGTAAGATACAGAAAGACGACAAAAAAAAAATTGTGAAGCATGATTTTTTATTGTTAAAACACAGGCTAGCTAGGTAGAAAGAATAGACCTAGGCCTCCAACGGGAATCCCCTCCAACAGCTAACTAAGGCCCTAGAACAAATAAAACTAGGCCTAACTGCTAGGCCTTGGTAGACTAACTAGGCCCCTAGGCTAGGACGGTCTATTCTAGGCCTAGAGGAGGCTACTACTACTAATACTCTAGGCCTAGAGGCTACTCTAGGCCTGAGTATAGTAAAAACTAGCCTACAGGCCTATTTATTTTACTGAAGATAACATTACATACCGTACGTCAAGTTTTATTACAAAGCGCGGATCAGCTCGATTTAAACTACAGAGGATAATGTCTGATTACTCAGTTCCGAATTTGCTCTTGTAAGTTTGTTTGTTCACATAGGGCTAGAGGCTTCCCTCTCACGTTCCTCCACTCGCTGCTCCGCTGTGTCAGTCACCTGAGCTGCAAGCCATCGGATCAATCGGATGGTGGGGAGGAGGGATCATCAGGAAAAAGCATCCAGACCTAGAGAGAGAGAGTAGTGCAGACGGAAAGAAATCATACAAACAATTACTTATAAAAACAATGCAAATAGTTACTTTACGAAGAAAAAACAAATTTTAAAAATTTAAAAAAAAAAAATTAAATAACTATTTATATAATTTTACTAAATAATACTAAGTATAACAGAATTCAATACATTTTTATAAATTAAAAATTTATAATTATTGAATGAGCCTAGCTAGAGCCATAACGTGACGTCATGTCCAAATACGGAAGGATCAATCATAATAAACATACATTCATTGTCATCTGATTGTGCTGCCCTGACTTTATTTTTATATAAGTGGAGTCATTTCTGCTTCTATTTTATACTCAACACTTAGACGTCGTGTTACAATAAGAAGTAGTCAGACATACAGATTTAAAAATGTCTTCACAAATGGAAAGTATCCTTATTTAGATGTGTTTTTAAAACAGGGGCTAGGCCTAGGCGGCCTAGCCTAGGCCCTACCAAAGACAAACAAGGCCTTCTGCAGCTGTCGTGTATGTATAATAAGTAGGAGTAAGTAGTACTTTACAGTATGTACTAGGCCTAGTGTAGTAGTAGGTTAGGACAGTCAGTGTTTTGTGGATTTCAAAGACCAGACTATCATTGCAGTGTAAGCCTTAGCAAACTTCTTGTTGCTTTGATGTGTTTTTTTAAATGTTATTTTGATGTTGTTCTCTTGAAGTTTAAGGTTTAATTATTTTGTGAAGTCTATTTTTGATATTGTTTGTAAATCTCCTCATAATTCAATTTAGTTTGCAATGAGTTTGATAATAAAACCAGGAATGAGAAAGCAGTATAGTAAGACTAGAGTAGTATTGAGTGTCTAGTAATAATAATAATAATAATAATAATAATAATAATAATAATAATAATAATAATGAAAACTTTTAAAATGCCAGTATCCGTTTAAAGAAAACGCTCATGTAGTACCTACACTCTCTAACTTTTAACTGAGGCTGATACTTGTAACTGGTATTTGATACTTGAAAACATGTTAAGATAAATAATGACATCAATGATGTAGCATTTTAGTAAGGTACCCTGTACTGTAATAATTGATATAATTATCATAATAATTGAATAAATTAAAAAACATAAGTCTACTTGGTTACAGCAACTATTAGTACTAGTGTAGACTCAACCTTACCTATGGCCAAGGCTAAGCAAAACCACACAGTAATATATTTGCATGAGAATACTATAAATACTACTATACTAAACTTAAACTGCATTTGTTTCTTTAATTGAATTGAAAATACCACCATGTAATTATTGCACATATTTTCATAGTACAATTACGTTGTTGTGGTATTTTGAGATACACCTAGTTCTAATTTTCTGTTCAGAAGTTGGCCCTTCAAAATCCAAATCTATGAACAAGTCTAATTATCTTACAACACAGTGTCATCAGCAATAAAATTAGAAACGGAAACTGAAATAATATACCAAATTATTGGCAAAAGAGGTAGAAATGTATAGTGTCTAATGCTGTACATGTGTAAATTGTTAATGGTAGCTTAGCAACAGGCTAGTTTCAACTTACCTGCAAAACCACCATGCCAACCCGTCATTGTAATACAATATCTCTACCTGCACATAAATGAAGAAGATCCTAACAATAACATTAGTTTCAATCTCAGTTCAACGATAGTGTTTATTAGTGAAGCAAAGTAACGGAGGCCTTTCATGTTTTGTAATTTATTTTAAATAATTTTTATGTAAAATATATTAAATATGCCTCGACATCGTGTTAGTAACCTTAACCAGATGGAAGAACACCTTTTTAATCTGAAATTTGCTGCTAAATCTCTTCAAAGAGAGTCTAAGAAATGTGAGAAACTTGAGAAAGAAGAGAAGAATAAATTAAAAAAGGTATGTACCTAGAATTTGATCTTTCTGAAAAAAAAAAAACAATTTCCACTGCTAATGATATGGATTACAGTCTACATGCAACATGGTTGATGTAAGACAAATATAAGCACCCAAATTAACCACATTATAAGCTCAATCATTATAATATAAAGTAGCAAGATTACCATAAATTTGTGATTGCTGGTAAATTATTATAATGTTTTGTCACAAAATATTAACATAGTATATGGTATGTGTGGCTATTGATAAAATTAATACAAAACATATGAAAAGAAACCATTTAAAAAACATGAATTTTAACATTTTTTTATATGAATCTCAGAATATAAAGTTTTATGTGACAAATCTGTATGATTTGACAACATGCCCATAAATGGATGTGATATGTGGAAAGAGAAGTTTGGGAAGAGTTCATGAGTACTGAAAGTTTCCTGCAGAAAAAGGACGAGAATTATTAAACAAAGAATGTAGAAATGACATTACTTATTCAGCCTTTGATAGGCAGGGAAAATGTTGTTGAATGCAAATAATGATAGTGTTTGCTGTGTAAATATTTACCAAATGCAGTTAATATTGTATGTGGAGTCATTGATAACACTAGAAAACATGAAAAAATACTTTTTAACAATAAGAAAAAAAGTAACTGAATTCCTTAACTCTTGAAACAGATAAGGCAAAAAATGGTTTTGCCAAAGCACAGTGAGTGAAATGGGTTAATAAGATTTTTTTGAAAATATATAGGTCTAAGGCCTAACCCTAAGGCTCATAGTCTTGGTACTTGGTAAAGTATCTGAACATGGTAACCAATGATTAAACATTGATGACTTGTGGAGAAAGCTTATTTAATGTTGAGAATTAACTTAACATATTTTAGTTCCGGTACTTAACATTGGCAAATTTGAACTTTTTTCCCCTACTATACAACAGGCTATCCAGAAAGGTAACATGGAGGGCGCTAAAATACATGCTGAAAATTCAATACGAAACAAAAGCCAAGCTCTCAATATGTTACGGATGAGCGCACGGGTGGATGCTGTGGCTAGCCGTGTCCAATCAGCTGTGGCCATGAAGAAAGTGACATCATCAATGGCTGGGGTCGTCAAATCAATGGACAGTGCAATGAGGTCAATGAACTTAGAAAAGGTAACCAAATTTATCCCAAGAATTATTGGCTTGTTGAAATATAGGGAGTTTTCAATTACACAATGTTGGTAAGATCTAGGACGTAATGAATATTCATAGCCATCTGCTTGTGCATGTAAAGAATTTTGAATTGTTGTGCTCTGAATTACAGAATATGTTTTGTGATAAATCTGCATTCTACGAAAGAAGAACATTCACTGATAGTGAACTTGTTCTAAGGTTTCATAATCATGATTGAATCGCCCTACTATTTTTAGAATGTATACTGTCATATATAGAAATAGATATAGATATAGATATAGATAGAAATACATCCAAAATCTTTTCCGAATCATAATGCAATGACAGTGAGTTCATGTGTTAAGGTTCTTTAAAAAAACACCTTTATCAATCTAGGCCTGTTTAAAATATCATGTGGTCTCTATTCTACTTTACAGAACTTATATAGCGCTATTTCATGAAGATCCGAGCGTTGGAAGTGTGCACTATCTCATAAAGTAGCTTTCTTCTGCCCCAAAGGGTCTCCTACAGTCTTTTAACTGAAATTGTTACACTGAGTGGCTGTCCCTGACGCAGTAGGGAAGGTCTTTCCAATTTGACCGACCAATCAGCGTTTTATAAACCTGTTGGTGATAGAGTATAGTGATTTTATAGAAACAAGGCTTTAATGAAGATATTCTGATCATTTCAGGTTTCAGGTTTGATGGAGAAGTTTGAGAAGCAATTTGAAGACTTGGACGTGCAATCAGCCAGCATGGAAGACACAATGAGCTCGTCAACAACGATGAGTACACCACAAACAGATGTTGATAACTTAATGCAACAGGTTGCAGATGAAGCAGGGTAAGTAGGCCTAGTACATTATAACCCTCTCTCTGCGTCTAAAAAATCGGTAGCCTTGATTGATGAATAACCAACATTATGTTTAATAGTTTACTGGAATATAATAATGTCAAGTAATTTCTAAAAATTTGTGATTAGCATCATGCTCCAGCTCACGACCTTTATAAAAGATTAAATTCATATTAATGCACCAATTATTTGAAATTAATAAAAACATAGGAAGAGGGTTTTGGTGTGACAATTTCCATTCAAGTTCTTGAACTCTCAGTTAGGAGTTGAAACCATGAAATAACCATTCTTGCCCACCATACTTAAGTGTGCCGGTTTGCGCTGTTGATGGGCTGTGAAGTAGTTAATTCTTTTACAGCCCTAGGTGTAACATGTATACACTGATGCTGCTTTAAATTAACTAAATATACAAAAATAACGATCGCCAGTAACAACACGTACAGTAATATGAAATGTCCTTGCATTTCTACAGGTTGGAACTAAATATGGAATTGCCAACAGAGCAGAAATCAACTTTAAGTATGGGAGCCTCAACAGCTGAGCAGGATGAGCTAACACAAAGGCTAGCAAAACTCAGGAATACATAGAGGGCAGCAAACTCAAAAACACATTTTCATTGGTCATTGCCTGTAGAATCCACGGAATATAATCTACCTATGTATTGATGCTTGAGGCTTATATTCTTTAAAGCAGAGGGTTCTTAAATGATCTTGTTTCAAAAAGTTTTGCATCAATAAAGGGATGTACTGTAGTCATGTTGTACTCCCAGTGAAGACTTCATTTGGTATTAATTTTTGTATTTATCAGAGTATGAGAGTAAGAAAAAAATCACCACAAAAGTAGAGTATTTTAAAGTTTTGGTATTTAAATGAAGGCTGTAATAGTTTATATAGGTAGATATTTCATAGTATTTGATTTCAGTTCGCATGTTTTATGTACATATTTGAAAGGTTTATTCTGGTAAGATACCTTTACATATTTTTGGGAACAAAATGTTGTCTTTATTACTATGATCATCCATCCATTCTTTTTTCTACCACTAGATTGTCTCCTGATATAATGTTTAATTACCCATCAGGAGTCGTGCCACATTTTGGGTGGGCTGTTTTAATTTAACCATTTCTGCTCTATCAAATGGCCCCATAGCTTAAAGTTGGTACACAACTTTATCAACCGGTACTATATATTGCTACAATTAAGTCAATTCAATCAGAAACATATTTCTTTTGATGGTACACCCATTTGAAACCATTTGTGCAAGCACATAGCTTTTTGTGTAGAAAAAAAGCCATGCAAAACCAAAAGAAAGAATAATTTCTGATATAACCAACTTATATTTTGAGAGTGTCATTACTTCATATATTCTTAAGGTCAGCTGTACCATTAGAACTCGGCTTATTTATGAGATTTTGTGTCATGATTATGATAAAACAGAATAACATTTGCATATTGCTGCCATAAATGTGCACAGTTAGTACATTTACAATAGCTAACGTTGCCAGTGTTAAACCGATATATGCCAGTTTCCTTATAGGAACTTACCTAAAAAATAATGGGACTTAGGTGTATATAATGCAATGTCGTCCATGTAACAGGCCTAAATTTTCTATGAATTATGTTAGAATGTATATAGTATGTTATCATTCTTATATCCCATTCAGACTAGCATCGCATTGTAATCGGTTGTAGCAATTGCGACATCCATTTGCAAAGTAAAATCTTTTTACTACTCCCGATTACCACAGAATCAGATCGCAATGAATTCCACAGGCACTGTCTGGCTGAGGTCAGTCAACATAGGCCTAGTCCCTAGAATGTAAAGTTTTTTTGCGTTGGTTTGCCTGCGTTTGTTGATTGCAATCCGAGTTAATCAGTTTTGGATTACCACCGATTGCATCGAAACAGAGTGTAGTCTGTGTAGGGTATTAGTTCTACCATCATCCCATGGTGGTCTGTGTGCTCAATAAAGGAACACTGTAGAAGTAATAGTATTTTTAAGTTCATTTATTTCTTCATATTGACAATTTGTAGTGTTTGAAAACACTACAAAATAATAATTTACCCAATGATAAGAATCTGTAAAAATCATTTTAATATCCCTTTCTGAATTATCAATATCTTGATAATTGAGGTACTGTACTTAGTATATATGCATGTATTGCGATTAACCTTTCACCGTCTAATGGCAATTAGAGAGTGAGGAACTTTAGGCCATTGCTGTATGGATGGTTCTAGTATTACTTTCGAGGCAAGATCTGATTGGAGGAATACGGGCAGTTTTCAGTTTAGCCTGGTCAACTACTAACAAAATAGAGTAAAAGATTTACCCATCTACAATTGGTCAACAATTGTCTCTTGTTACTATTCAGTAAAAAACCTAACACTAAAATATATTGAAGTTTCCATGTTCTTGAATGTGGGAATGTCTTTATGATTGTTCTAAATTTTCACTAATAAACTATAACAAAACAGTACAACTATTAAACTCAAAATAAACTATATAACTAACTTCAACTAGAATACAGTGCCGTATCTAGGGTTTGTGTGTACACGTCCCTCCCCCCCCCCTTCCTGAAAATAGCTCTTCCCCCAGACCCCCACTGAAAGTTTTAAAGCAAAAAAATCCTCATATAACCAAATTTTGCAACTTAACATCCCTTCAGTTATTAAGATTATTATGATCAAATCATCGAGCCCCACTCCACTCCCAATCAACTCCTCCATTTCAAGCAAGAGTCCTAGATACAACACTGCTAGAAAATTAAAGTAAAAAGAGGTACAGGCAAAGTTTTGAAAATTTTTATCAAATATGCAAATACTGTATGTAAATAAATGCAAACTATATTTATCAACATGCGATAAATAACATGAAAAGTTGCAAAATGCTTCTCTAATTTGTCTTGTTACTGGTCATTCCTAACATGGCTATTTATATCATCATAAGTAAAATCATTAAAAATCATCTTTCCTAATTTATTTCTCAATATTAGAAATTGAGGTTGAGATTAATGTTTTCTTATCCTTTGATGTGGGATTTTCTTTATTTTTTTTCTAATAACTGTATAATAAGTCAAACTAAAGCAATAAAACTTAGGAAATAGATTACTTATGCAGGGCACTCACTGCGATGTACGACGACCCAACTCCGCTATTTGAGCGCTAGGCAACACAACACCGCCTGCCGACTGTCAGCAGTCTGAATGGATCGTCATTAAAAACGATCCGCTGCGCATGCGTTGTCGCGTTGCGTTCTACATAGAATTGCGTCAGCCGATGACCGTCACAGGGAGTGCCCAGCTTACCAAATCCCTCAAAAACCTGCACTAATATTTAAAAAAAAGAGCCTAACTTGATATGTAATACACTGGAATATGCAAATTATTATTATTATATTACAATCATTAAAAATCATCCTTTCTTATATCTTTCCTCACTTTCAATAAATAGATTTAACATAATTATATTAATATCAACATTTACTTTCAGATTGCAATCCCCATGTTTTCCTGCCATTGTCTGGCTTCTAACTTAGCTACTTTCATCACTATCATATTCAAATGCTTTAAAACTATCTTCTCGCATGCATTTCCTTAGTTTATTACATTTTATAATTTTATAAAATTGTTTTAAAAAGGACGAAAAAATGTTTATGTGTCCATACACATAAACTGTATACTTATGTATAAAATAAATAAATACAAATTGCTGATTAAGGTGGCATTTCAACCTTTCCTCACTTTTATGAGTTAGTAAACAAAATATCAAAAATATCGGTTGGAAAGGAAAGTAACAGAAAGTGTTCAAGAAGAGCCAGGTACACCGGATAGGCCGGATTAGGGGTCTGTTGATGTTGATGGGACATCATCTAATTTAACAACAGATGAGGAGCCAACTTCGTCTGGTCTACCGAAAGATGATCCAACTTTATCCGGTCCACCAAATGAGGAGCTAGCGTCGTCTGGTCTACCGAGTGATGCTGTTGATTTGTGGTAATTTGACTGCTGATCAATGTGTATCTCAGAAAAAATGTCTTCCAAATCATGCAGACTTAAGCCTCCTAGTTCCAATTCAGTTGAATCCACAGATGTGCTACAAAAAAATTCAATACGGTGATAAGTGAGACTAAATATAAACATCCAATGAAATGTAGAAGCATGTGGCGCAGTGTGTAAGGTGTTCGACTTTCAATCGGAAGATCAGGGGTTCGAGACCAATGCTCGTCACACTGCTTGTGTCCTTGGGCAAGACACTTATCTGCATTTGCTTCTCTTCACCCAGGAGTATAAATGGGTACCTGGTAGGCATAATCAGGAATAATCCCCAGAAAGCAGAGAAGGTTGCACGTTGTGTATGATGAGGGGTGGATTTTGGGGGGGGGGCCCCGGCCTAGAACACAAAAATTTCACAGGGAATGCCCCCGGACCCCCTAGGGTATTATTATCTCGATCGGCCCCACTTTCGGCCCCCCCCCCTTTTGGACATCTCTGCATCTGCCCCGATGACTGATTCTGTATCTAATGACTAGGGAAAAAGTCACCTTGAGCAGTTTTCTGGATATGCATGCTATATAAATCTTATAAATTTATTTATTTATGAAATGAGATCTACAGTAGCTATTATACTAAAATTTTAGACCTGACCATTCATCAAAATTAACAATCATATATTTTGTTAAAAAATTCGCAGTAACATACAAGAGCAAGCTGATGGTGATAATGGCATTTGTAATGGGAAGACTTCCCTTTGTTGTGTGCTATCTATTCATTGAGAAACAAAAATTATGAACTATTAACTAATTCAGACAATAGATATATTGCATATTGAAGCACACTTACCTGTTATATGTTGTTTGCAACATCGCTTGTATACGCTCTTCTATCGTATTCTGTATCAAGAAACGATGCACAACGGTTGGCCTTAAAATAGAAAATATAAGTTAAAATATATCATAAATAATATCTGTATACAGGTTAAAATTAAATTACTTCCTTTAATTCTGTAATGCTTTAATCTTAAAATTCCAAGACAAATGTCTTTATTAAGTTGAAAATCTTACTTAGTTTGTCCAATACGATGAACTCTTCCAATAGCTTGAAGCTCATTAGCTACATTTAAAATTGGTTCAACCAACAAGACGTGAGTTGCTTCAATTATATTTAGTCCTTTGGCTCCTGATTGGACGGGAAGAAGTAGAGTTGTTACTTTCTCATCGTGTTTGAAATCCATAAGTTTTGCCTGGAATCGTGGATGTCCACCATATTGGATTGAGCGATATTCAATGTTGTTGTCACGGAGACCACGGGCTATTACTTCTAACACATCTGTCCACTGAATGGAAAAAAAAATAAACATCACAATATATTGCAGTTAAAATCATTACCATTTATATCGTTTATCTATTATACCTACTAGTATGTTTATTGATGTCATTTTTACCGTAGAGAATACAATAGACTTGACCCCAGGTTCCTTCATCTGAATATTCAGTAATGTTCTTATAACTGCTTCCACTTTGGTTGAATGTCCACCCTAAAAAATACATGAAAAAGAAACAGCAATGTCAAAACTGGTGGTGAATACTCTGTGTACCAAACTATGGAAAAGTTTGTTGTATATAATTCTATTCCATCAAGCAGTCTCACCGTGAAATCTGGTTTATCATTTGGAAAACATTAATGGACTACAGCAAGGCAATTCATCAACAGGACCCACATCACGCTTGACTGTGTTTACTGTACCCTGATCGTCACAAAAACCATAGCAACCAAACCATAAATAACCATCAGCGTGTGATGAATTACCCATGCATGTGTTAGTTGCCATGATAATCATGCGTGGTGTGGTGATTACAATGGCCTAATTATATTTTGCACTAACATTAAAGTGAAATTATATTCATCATTTCATATTAATTTTACTGATGTTGTGGTGTAGTGTGGTTCATGAGACTCACTTCGCAGAAAAAATAAATAAATTTTCTGTGTCTACTCAATTTGTTTTGTGCACCTTAATCTTACATTGTCAAAATGAATGTTTAATGTTATATAACAACATGAATTTTTATAAAAATCGTAAATTTTCAATTGCTGTAACTTTTCATTTTGCTGGTCAATTTTCACGAATTAAATTGCAGTTTATAGAAGCACTTAACATGCTCGTGGTCAAAAGAAATCAGATGTAACAGACATCATGAAGTACCCAAAGTTAATAAAATAGTAACGAACACCATAAAACGTATGGCACACAGACTAATAATTGACGGCTGTACTCGCAACTAGTATCGAAGCCACGAAAGATCAAAGGACTGTACATGAGCGGAAATGTGCGTCCTGTTGTTGAATTGCCTTGATAGCAGCAACATAAACCATGGGCTAACTATTTTCATGTTGCCTCAAATTGTACGATTCACTGCGGCCAAAGGTCAGTTTAATTGCGATGCAAGGGTGACATACTGTCAGCTTAGCTTTAGATTCAATATCTTTTTCCAAATTTGTAAAGAAAATTTAATTATTTAGCTATTTTGCTAATCTTACCCTAACTCTCACACCATTTTCTTCAAGATCTTGCGCACTCAACTGCGTGCTGACATATGATATGTCTTCCACGTAAGTAGATGTTCTGCATGTAGGGCACCTGAGGGACTTGCGTCGACCGACAGACGAGTAGCCTTTGATAAGAACAGCCATACATTCATGGCAGAAGCAATGGCCACATTGTAACACAGTCCACTAAAAAGAAAATAAAAACATTAGAAGGTCTCAAATAATATTACAATTTTAATAATAAAATTCTAAACAATTATTGCAAATAATCTTGCAGATTCCATATCTAAAAGCTTGGTTTCCACACAATCGCTACACGCCATCGCCAACAGCTTTCAGTGATGCTGATTGGTCGGTCAAATCAGGAAGCCTTCATGATTGCATCGGGGACTGCTAAGCAATACAACGATTGCGCTGAAAACACTGTAGCGACAGTGTAGCGATTGTATGGAAACCAAGTTTAAGGAAAATATTCTACTAAATATACTCCCATTATTAAGAGCATGACACCATGATAATGAAAATGATGATGAAGATGATAAAGATATAACACCTTTGATCAAAGGACAAGCTTAAACATAAGCCTAACTGATAAGGCCTACCTCATAATGTCTCTATATCTTAATTAAATTAGAAGTTAGGTAAATTAATAGTAGAAGTAACAATTTATTTTGATTAAAATGGAAAATTCAATAATTATAATAATTACAATTCTTACAAAAGAATGATGATAATCTCAAACACAAGTTTTTAAAAAAATAATTCTTTGAAATAAAAAATTAGATTACCTGGCAACCCAGAGAATTAACACATACAGGACATGGTTCTGGGTTTTCCCCTCCTTGTTTACTGTAGTCTGATGTTGCTAAGTTACTGAGGTACAGCTGCTGGCTTAGTTTTCTACGTAACTCATTGTTGGCAAGAGCGTAATCATTCAGCAGTTTGAAGCGCTGTTGTTCGACCTGAAACAAAATGAACATTATAATTATTAGTAAGATGAGATAAATAAACTTTAAACAAATATTATAATGTGAATCTTAAAAAAAACAAGTAAACCAGTCTAGAATTACTTCAATAAGACTATCATAATTAGTGTTTCATAACAATTAGAGGAAGCTTACCTGCCCTGGTTCAATTACATAATTCTCTGTCGATGGGTCAACTGGTTCCCATGGTAACCGTATCCGGAGGCGCATTGTGGCCATCTCTAACTCATCCATGGCAGCAACACGTTCACGAAGTGTCATCCATACAACACGCACCAACTAACAGAGAAGAAAAAAATGAATTGAATCATTCACTTATTCAATTCAATTCATCAATTTTAAGAGTCACCTGATGAACAAAGTTATTGGAGGCTTTTAACAGCAGCAATTGGTACTTTGCACCATCAGGAAGGCTCCTTGATTTGTCTGCGATGAATCAGAGTAGAAACTTTCCCAACTTGTCTGCAATGAACCATAATCAATGACAAATCATCTGTCGAATTCACTAAACGTCATCAACTTCGCCTTGAATATCATTTTTGATTTTGTTGACAGTTGATGTCAAATTTTCCCTTGTTTGTATTTCAAGAGTATACAGAAATTTAAAGATGTTTAAAGAGAAAACTAGTGCATCGGGCCTAGTTGTTCAAACGATAGATTGTTCAGTGAAAATATCGTAACAACTTCTATATAAAAAAAAACAAAAACAACCCTATCAACATAAGTCTAGGCTAGGACCTAGAAGAAGCAATGTTGGGCTATGACTTCTATATTTTCTAGTCCTATGCCAAGTAGTCAGCATGATCACTGAGTGTCAAGCTACAGACGGGGATAGGATGTAGCAATTTTATGGAAAATCAAGCTTAAAGTTCGGTATATTAAATACATATACTTTATTGATAAAACTGACTGATTGACTGAGGAGATTTAAAAGTTCACAAGGCTTCATTTGACATTTTTCCTAACTGCTCAACATTTTTCTTAAGAGCTGCAGTACCAGCAGGGGTGTTGGCAACCCAAGGGAGGAACCCTGGACTCCCCCTCAAGAATCAATTCACCTTGTTATGGAATACTTTTTCAAAGAAAGCTTTTTTCACAATATGAGACTGCCATTTGTAGGTATCTTGAGGTGCCTATTATTAAAATTTGCTCATCTCAGCCCCAAGCATGGTGGGATTGAGTTGGGTGTGGACCCCTTGCCGTAGACTTGAGACCCCTCGTCAAGGAATGTCTAGCATCACCAGTGTTGGGCATTCTACTATTTCTACCTTGAATTCTTTCCTGTATGTCTCCAGCATTTGAACATGAACAGTTCCACTTTCTACAAGTCCATCATCATCATCTAAATTAACATTCTTACAACATGAAAGCAAAGTACGAAGTATTCGCTCAATCTCACTCATGGCCCATGTACCCTGTGGTCTCTTTGGCCCAGTTGATGGCAGTATACTTAAGTCTTCAATACTGAAAAAAATCAAATAAAATGATACATATTCACACTGTACTTTTTGTTAGTTGGTAGAAATTATTTTATGAACCTGTCATGTTATGCATCAAGCACTGAAGCATAGTAGTAAAGTTTTGGGCATTCATTTGGGATGGTTGTGAGTTTGAAATATTGCTGGTGGTTAACAGGGCCTACAGAGGTCTAGGTGGTACTACACGCCCTGATGGGATCAAGAGTAAAGCTGTTGAGGGTGAGAGGGTACAGCCACCCACTCTGTATCAAAAATCATCAAAATGATGATGAAATTCATCAGTTACATGCTAGGATGCTTCAGCTCCAAAAGGGCTTCACCCCTGAACCCCATAAAAGCTCTCATCTGCTTCTTAGATTAGAATCTGGATATAATATATGTCTGGCCCTCATATGGAACTGGTTACAATCCTGAATATCCAGTAAAACCAGCCATAATATTGGCTTGTGTTGTTGTGAAACAAAAAACATTGCAAAGTACAGAACAAATTAAGTGGAGAGAATAACATGGTGTCCATGTTGGTTGAAAAGCTAAAAAATGCGCTGCTATATTTCATGTAGCACACTATGGAATTTCCACATATAGGCATTGTTCCAATGACTAGGGTAATAATGTGGAAAAGCGCTTAATTGTATTGAGCGCTATATAAAAACCTATAATACTTACGAAGAATTAAAGGCAAAGAGTTGGACTTCATATTCAGTGAACAGTTTATGTGCTTCACAAAAGGGGCAACTGAAATAAAAAAGAAAAAACATAATCATCATTATAAATTAACTCAAAATAAAAAATAGCCAGAATGCTCCTTAGAATGCCACTCTGTTGGGGATACTGAATACTTGAAATGGGGGTGCTGATGGTGGGGGGTTTGAGGCGCGAAGTTGAAGTGGGGGG